CCTTTCAGAAAAATATCGTCATAATTTCGATGGGTTACACACTAATTGTTAATTAGAATTTCGACATAATTTCGGTTACGACGGGTTTCAAAATTCATCAGAATTTCAACGGGTTATTTATTAATAGTTTATTATAATTTCGACAGAATTTAGACAGTCACTAAGGGATTTCGGCAAGCAACCTTAGTTTCCATAATAATTTCAACGTAAAATTTATTTGTTTGTACTTTGTCGTAAGTTCACAGATATTTGCAATCACATCCATTCAAGAATATGTAATTAGCTAGTCTTTTCTACAATGAAAGACCAATCATAGTCCAAATCATTGAAATCTATTACAATATCTGGTGTTAGTACTCACCAACATAGCGCAAATGTCTTTAATAAATTTATTTGATTTCCACATACAATTGTGATCCAATTTGAATCTGGCTCAGTTTCTATATCAATAATACAAATCTGCTTTAGTAAGGTAGAATTGTCTTTCTAGTGAATTGTTATATAAATTATAAATATATTGTCCTCTAGATGTCATGAACAGGATAATTGATCTATTCCACATTCTGTATGGATTTCTATATTCCATGTTAATACTAAAGTGCGATTATGTATCATATATAAAGTCAAAAATAAATTACTTATTGTATCTAAGTTTTCCACAGAATGATAATTCTTTATAGATACTTGAAACATATATGAGCAAAGAGATAAACTTTTATTGTAACTATAATTGTTTATTATTCTCACTCTATAAGAGAAATTCCATATTCACGAGTAACTTTGCGATAATAAGTACTACGATCATCTGATGCAGTTTTTAGATTATGTTTTTGGATGATATTAATAGCTATTTTTCTTTGAAAAGTATTTATTATAATAATACGAAGATCTGATTTTTTTTCTGTATGATAACCACGGATAGAAAATACCTTTATGTACTCTATTCTGATTTTACCTACATTTATCATTTTCTCCTTGTTATCCTTTTTATTGGCAAAAATATTTTTTATTTTGTCTTCAAACAAATATATATCTTTATTGTTAGGGATCCAAATATCAAAGAAAACTTTAATGTCTGTAATAGTTATTACTATTTTCTGATCATTGATAAGTGAGCCATATAAATGCAAGATATAATAAGGGGTTCTATTTATATTCATTAGATTCTTCTATATCAGTAGGCATAAAAGGTATATTTTCTCACTTAGCTAAGACTTGTTCAAGAATTAAAGTCGATCCATTCTTATTTTCTCTTACTATATCGTTATGGATTGGAATTTCTAAATAATCTTCAGCAGAATATCTCAATATTGGTTTCACCTCTTTACTTTCTGAAATCTGTGATTGAGGAAAGACTTTGAATCCCTGGTAATAGAAGGTCCCATTATTTTCCTTCTCTATCTCTGGCTCAAAATTTTCCGAGTTTTTTGGTCTTTCTGGTCGAAAAGATGATGCTTCTGATTCTGCTGACACATGATTAATATTTTCTTGGAAATTTTGGATATTCATAATAGGTGCAATAATATTGGACATCTTTTTGTAAATTTATATTATCTGTACTGTTACCATTTTACCTTTCATCAACCATATCACACTATATTTTAGCGTAGTAATATTTATTTAGACTTTTTCTTTTATTTTTACTTTTCTATATTTCTCATATTTTTATCCAATAACATTAATTTATACTTTTTATCCAATTATTTTACATTATTATCACATCATTTTAGTTTAGATTTCATCATCATTTAATTTATCAATCAATTCATACTACTATCACATCATTTTATATTCTAAATCTTATTGGTACTTTATTTTTATCTCTTGTTACATTAATTTAATTAGCGACACATAGATTTTACACAAACCCCTTTTTAATATTACACAATAGTTATCATGTTCCAACATGTTGTAGATCTTTACTTTTATTAATTTTACTTTGTAATCTATATATGTAAATAATATGTAGATCAGCATAACTCAAATTCACTATATATGTAACATGAGAATTGACTTGAAATAAACTAAGAAGATTATATCCTGGTTTTAACTTTGTTCTTGTCTTTTTCATTTTTCTTGTTTATTTCTTTTGTTCGCTTTATTTTTGTTTGTTTGTATTTTATTTTTCTTTTGTTTTTATTTTGTTTTATTTTGTTTTATCTTTATTTACTTTTGTTGTTTTTCCTTTGTCATTATATTGTCTTTTATCTTGTTAACACACTTTCTAACTTGGATTAATAGCGTATATTTAGTTTTAGTATTGTTCTATTATTTAAACACATTCAAATATTTATTTTATACTCGTATTTTTGTTAATTTATTATTGTCAATCATCCACTTTCGTCATTTATATCTCTCTCTTATTTAAAATCTGCCGTGAACACAGTCGCTGTTAACTATTTCTAAATATTCTCATATGTAAGAACTAGAAACGGTAGCAGTACGAAAAAAATTCAAAATAAAAATTAATTCCTTACAATAATTAGTGTGAAATATCATTTATAGTATAAGACAAAAAAATCGTACCAAAAATATAATACTTGAAATACATGATATTTTATCGTTGTGAATATATTCTCAGAACTGGAGAAGTTTGTGAGTGAGGTTGTTATAGACCCGAAGGCTGTGATTATCATTGAAAGTTTTCCAACGTATATCTTGTAAAGAGTGTGATAAAATTACTTCCTCTATCTATGGTATGTGTGAGAAACATGCAGGTAAACATCAAAATATAAAACATTATTACCAGAAGAAGCTGGAGAAGATGGCACAAAATGAAAAATCAGAGATTTGATGCTCTACCTCATCTGAGGTAAAAGAAAATTAATATACATATGTGTGTTATGCAAGATACCTATATTTTTCAAAGTTTCAACTAAGACGAATTTTTTTCTGAACATGAATTAGAATGGAAAAAAATATACCTGCCAGCAATTTCAAGCCAAACGAAAGAGTTTTAGACTAGCCATCCAAGTTGATCAGGTTGTCTAGGAAATTTCTCAATCTTTTTACTTTTATATTTTTTATCTATGTGTATAGAACATATGCATAGATTATATATATACTGTATATATAGCATATGTCGTATATGTATCAAAGATATGTATATAGTATATGTCGTATATGTATATAGTGTATACCATAGGAAAGAGTTTTATATTTTTCCTAGAATACTATTTTTTACCTAGTCAACTTAGACGAAAATAGAACAAGTATAGAAGAACAAGTTAAAACAAAAATAAACCTTTTTCTTCCATAATATTATCCGTCCAAGTTAATATATTTTTACCTAGACGGGACTTGGATGATTTTTTTTCTTGGACATGAGCAGATCCATTTTAAGCGCATTCTAGGATAGTTAACATAAGTGATTACATTTTTGATAGCATAACCAGATAACATTTTTTGATAGTAATTATATAACACATACAATAGCATAACCAGATAGCATGTATACAACATGTTCAAATAGCATATATATAACGAACTAGATGGTATATACTTTGGTTATATGCCTCTACAAATGACAATATAATCACATCCTAATTATCAAACTCGCAATGAGGCCAACCCGGTTGCATAACCTATCTCAGCTATTTTATTATAATGGAAATCGGTGATAATTACCAAATCAGTATACAAATAATGTTATCGAATTTGGGTTATAATAAAAAATACAGAAGGGCACTGACGGCGGTGTCACATTTCTGTCGTCACAACACATACCTGAGTGAGAATAACCTAGACTAAACTCTTCCCGCACATAACCTACTTCAGATATTTATATTTATTGGAAATCGATTAGAAACTCTAAGCCGATATACGAAAATTTATATAAGTGATTAAAACATTATTAATATTTATTTATATAATAAATAATTTCTCTTAACAGATAAAGTTCAGATTTCACATTCGCACTTACTTCAGGTTTTTTTTGAATATTCTATAAAATTTTTATTACCACTAGGTAAAGGTTCAATAAAAAATTGCTGATTATTTCAAAATATTCTTAGGTATGCAATTCATTATCTGATGTTCTTGGATGGGTGCAAATAATTATCTTTCGATAGTTATTTTTGGTATTGATTTAATAATTTTGTAAAATACAAATTATGTATCACTTGGAAAACAACAAATGACCAAACTCTACTTATAGTTAAATTGACAATGCATACCCTAAACTTAATATAGTATGTTAATGTCACTCCGTATCAGTATGCATTAAAGAATAACGATAGATCTCATTTAAGCAAATGATTCATAGTCGCGTAATGATTCAATACACACAGATGGACTACCGACTTCAACTGAACTGATATTGGGGGGGGGACAGATTTAGCCAGCACTTCCAAGTCGTGGACATCATACATGGCTCAGGGTGCTTTAATAATTGGAGAAAAGAATCGTTTGTTCAACTCTTCGCATATTTCGGATACATAGACAATCTCGGTATGACGGTATAATGAACTCTCGATATAGTGAAACTTGAATTCTGTAATAGCTTTGCGTTAATATACAATGAACTCTATATTATATCAAAAATCTATTATATCAAGAATTTATTATAATATTAATCCCACTATATCGATTTTTAATTAGCACTATAATGTATAAAGACTGTAATTCATTAATGTTGGGTACAGACCACAGATTACGTAGTAGGTGATCAACCAATACTTTCTGAATTTTCATCACAGGAATTTGACTATGTAGTCGATCCATGAATAGTGTGGCAAACTTTAACCATACATACAAGGTAATCGAAAATCATCAAATATTCGGCTTATCAGGTTCATATTATGATATACACATAAATCATGATCGCAAAAACCTCGATAATTCGTCACTGGGAATTACGATTTAATATTATTTATAGTAACCAACAGGATACGCGTACCAACACACGATTCTGATGTAAAGACATTTTTTATTAGCACATTAAATAATAAATAGCATGTATCACATTTCTAAGCATTATACGTATAACCATACAAATAAATTCAACTATTTGACAAACTATCCTCGAGCATAGACATAAACCTTTCAGCGACTGCTGACTTTCCAACACTCGCATGCACGACTTCAATATTTTTAAATGGTTTCCGAAACATTATAGTGTAAGAAGTTCGTGGGTCATCAATTACCACGACTTTTCGTAGCCATTCCAGAAACTGATTGGCGAAATTAAGACATATGGTTGGATCCTGAAAGCATAATATTAAATATTATTGCCATTATGATGAAAGAAATCAAGATGAAGGGTACAGTTATATCGTGGTGAAATATACTTACCCACATTCCCGGTTTTCCACGAACAATCCGCGGTATCTCTAATGTTTTGAACTCTTTTACACTTTGCAGAATACCCATTTCATTTCGAAATCCAAATACGATTTTCGGAGTTCCAATTAAAAAAGATTGCGCCCAGCATTTCAACAGCTTAAATCTATTATTTATATCAAAAAAAGTCTTTGATTATAAATATTTAAGGAAAAATGGATAAGACAATATTAATATTAACAATACCTTTCAAAGGTGAATTGTTCTTTTTCCTTTTGAATCACTTTTGATGTCTTTAATTCAACATATGAGCCAACAGGATTCTGTGGTGGTGGTGGCTTTACATCTGTATGTATTATACATAGCACAAATCAAGTTTCAAAATCCACAGCCACTTTTATATATGTTTAAGTGAATATAGAAAATACCATCCGAACAATCAACTTCTGCACCCATTATCAGACGATTTCTTCCAAGTGTAGCTTTGGCCACAGAGCAGTACTGAATATTAGTATTAACGAGTCCTAGTTTCCGATTGACTAGATCTGGATCATCTGATGATTTTATTTCTTTCGGTGGTTTCGGGATGGTGCATAGCGTTTCGAATTTATAACCCCAGTACATCATTTCTTTGTGTTGTGGGGTAAGGGCATTCGCTTGTTCTGTGGACCAGTCTGTCTCGTGTTCCTCTATAAATCTAGCAAGAATGAGATTGTGCATTAGTAAGTCGGCCAAATCAGCAAAAAGAAAGAAAGAATATCTATGACTTGCATTGTTTTCTATTCATTTAAAATAAATTCACGGAAATTTAGTAAGCGTTATAATCAATGTTCAATAAAAGTTGATGTATCTTCACACATACATTCCACAATGTAGCCCCGAGCTCCCACGGCTCATTTCGTGCAAAAGGAGTGCACAGAATCTTTGTGAAAATACCCCGCCACGACACCTAAGACAAAACATTATTTTCTCAATGGTTAGTTCGATAGTTCGACTATGAAATTAATGATTCGTCGATACACACATACCACATCGGCACTACTTATAGTCTTTTCCCCAGTTTTCTGCTGATGATGAAACAAAGCGTCTAACAATGCATCAATTGGTTCACGCGCATTCTCTTTCGGAATATACGCGTCGTAACCATTTTTTAAATCAGCTTCTTCCACCAAATTTGGCGGATAATAATATCGCTATTTTTATTGGAATATTGTAATCACACGAAGTAAACCAAAAAAGATTATAATAGACTCTTTATCAAGGTCCAAACAAGCTTCTTTTGATATCTATCGTCATACATAATCTTGCGAGACGCTTAGCAAATTACCAACTCCCTATCGTCCATATGCAAAACTTTATTGCTATCATAACTAAAACTGGTGATTTCTACGGGCTGCTTATACGTCGCACAGGTACCTTCGAACCGGTGAATAGGGTGCAGAGAAAACCTAAATACTTGTTGCAGCGTTCTCTGTTTCATTGTAGGATTACTCCGAGAAGATGCCATTTATAATTTTTGCAAAACAATCACAAATTTAAATAATGATAGATTGATTGATTTTCAGTATGCAAATGCCATGCATCAAAACAGAGACACAAACGTCGTTCTAATTTCTATTACCATTAAATTTTTCATTTTCATTTTCATTTTTTTGTATTTTCTAAAAAACGCTACCAAGGAGTAAGTAGAGGCAAAGAAATTGTGAATTAGCTTTTTTGTGATCTTTACAGCTTATAAGTTATTGTTAACGATTAAACAGAAACAGTGTAGCAGTATGCAAAATAGTATTAATAATATTATTAATAATAATAGCAGCAACAACAGCGGAAAGAGTAGTAATAATAACAACAATCATACTACTAGCAATAGCAATTCTAACAATAACAACAACAGCAACAACAACAACAACAACAGTAACAGCAATCTCAACAGTAACGACAGCAATAGTAAAAGTAATGATAGCAATACTAGTAATGAACAAAAACGACATGCTGTCCTTCCACCAAAGAAAAAAGAGAAGCAAAAAGAATTGTATACACGACAGGAGTTAGTTGGTAAGGGTGCGTATGGAGCGGTGTATAAAGGGTGAGTTTTAGGGTTAGGGTTAGCTTAGATATTAAAAAAGTGGGAGAAAATATATTTTTTATTAGAGAATTTTCTATTAGAACAATAAAGTTCTTTCGTTGTATATGCAAAATTAACGTTTAATTGATTTATCTTATACATCAGCATCAACAATGAGACAAACGAAGTAGTCGCCATCAAGGTCTTGAATCTAGACACTGAAGAAGACGACGTGGCCGATATTCGAAAAGAATTGAACTATTTATCACAGTTGAAACATAGCGAATCTCAAAACATTACACGTTATTATGCGAGTTTCTTGCATGGCACCAAACTGTGGATCGTGATGGAGTACGCGGCTGGTGGAAGTATACGAGAATTGGTGTGTAGGAAATTTTATATGTTTAGTGTTAAGTGTCTTTATGAATGAATCTGTGAATGTGTATTTTGTTATTAGATGAGAGCTGGTCGAATTGAAGAAAAGTATATTTCAGTGATCACAAAAGAAGTGTTACAGGCGCTGAGTTACTTGCACAAATGTAAAATTATTCATCGTGATATCAAAGGTATTCATTTAAAAAAATCTTTTTAATATCAATATCAAAATAAACAGAAATTAATTTACGTATAATTTAAATAGCGGCAAACATACTATTAACAGCCGAAGGCAAAGTACAACTATGTGATTTCGGAGTAGCCGGACAACTAACCGCCACCTCATCGAAACGTACCTCATTTGTCGGAACACCGTATGTAATAGCTATTTAATTGTTAAACTGACAAGCTTTAATTAGAAACATCTTAACATGATTTTTAGATATTGGATGGCGCCAGAAGTTATAACTGAAGGTGCTACATATGATACAAAGGTAAGTTTCGTAACGTCAATAATTTTTATTTTCATGGGCATGGCTTTTATTATCATGGACGTAACTGGATAATCTTTTATATACAACTAGGCAGATATATGGTCACTAGGCATTACCGTATACGAGATCGCAACCGGGAATCCACCATTCGCCGATCAGAGTGCTCACAAAGCAATCCAATTGATACCACGATCACCGCCCGCACAATTGGAAGGACCGTTTCAAGTGCCGATCAAAGAGTTTGTGTCTAAATGTCTTAATGAGAGTCCTGAAGAGGTATTCATAGAAAATAATAATATCATAACATTAATGAAAAAATAATAAAACCAATATTTCTTTGGTGGATAATTATTAATAGCGTCCAACAGCCGATGATTTAATAAAGCAAAAGTTCATAAAGAATGCTTCGAAATTGCCAAATGGCCTATTACGCGATCTTAAAGTGCGCTACGATAATTGGAAGCAAGCAACCGGGTATCGTCATTCTTTTTCGGATCCATTTAGTACTCCATCTAGGTTGGTAATTTTTTACCATTTATTATTTAGTATCTATAATGTTGTTCACTATGGATCATCCGCATTTGTTGAGTGATTAATCACTAAGACTTTTATAAATAATTCTATTGATTGAATACAGTGAAAGCGACGGATTTGACCTAGAAGATGATCGCCAACCTGATGACGATTATGATTGGGAGTTTGATGTGCGTTATTTATTTTCTAATTAACATTAAAAATCGATATCAAAAAATTCTTTTTATTCTTTACATTATATTTAATCATACCCACATACTTATATTGGCTATACAAATAATTGAAATAAAAGACGGTGCGAAGTAGCGTGAGCAGTTTCACAACCCACCGAAAATCCCAATCGACCGGCAGTCTCACAAGTAACCCCGACAGTACCTTTGCTTCTTCCCCTCTTGTTACTGCTGGAACTGGAGGAGCCACCGGATCTTTACTATCACCTGTACTCGAATCATCTGATGAGCAACACAACGCCAGCAACGATAGTCAACAACAATCTTATTTCACAGATTCGGAAACACAAAACGAAAAAGACCACACAATGCTCGCTAGATCACGAAACTTGTCACTTGAGTTCCGTGAAAACTTTATATTAAAAAATATCAACAGTAATAACAGTAATAGTAGTAGTAGTAATGGTAGTAGTAATAGTAGTAATAATCATAATAATAATAATAATAATAATAACAATAATAATAATAACAATAATAATAATAATAATAATAATAATAGTAATAGTAATAATAATAATGAAGGATATTTGATGAGTTCTTCAACTCCAACTAATAATAACAGTAACAGCAACAATAGTAATAACAATAATTCACCATCACTAATGTTTCAACGACAGTACTCTGAAGCGCCACATCGACTACTTCAACTTTTTGAACCGGACACTTCAACGAATAGTGATAGTCAATCATTTAACGATAAAAACAATAACGTTAACAATGGTAATTACAACTATAATTACGGTTATGGCAGTAACTACCCCGATAGCAATAATAATACGGAGCCATCACCGACTTTTCTTAGCACTCCCACGATTTCAATACCGTCTGTTAGTGCAATGAATTCGATGATTTCTCCTGCCGCTCAAATCGCTGAAGACCTTGCTTCTCGGACTATTACAAAGTTTTCTTCTTCTAGTAGTAATAATAATGATCAGGACCCTCCTCCTTCATCTACATCGTTGATTGGTAATAATAGTAAGAGCAATAGTAGCAGTAAGAATAATACAAAATTACGAGAAAAAGCTTCAGAGGGTAATTTATACAGGAACAAAAGTTTTGGTGCTACCTCGAGTCTAGTACGCTCCAATAGCCTTTCAAGTGGCGTGAGGAGTAACAATGACAAGATTAATAATAAAGATTTCCGACACGACTTTCATATCAAGGATTTACCAAAACCCGAAATAAAGTTTCCCCCTCCTCAATCTGCTGACAACAATAATGGTAATAATTCCAATAATGGAATGGGCACACCAATCAGTCAAAATTATCCGTACTTGAATAATGGGCTATTATCACCGACGATGGATATGGGAAGTCCACGATTAAATAATTCTCTTGCTAGATCAGAAAGTGGTTATTTCTCTGCGCATAAGCAATTTACACCAACAGATTCCGGAAGTAATAAGAACAATAATAATAATAGTAGTAATCAGGATCAACAACAACCACAGCCATCACCCACATTATTATCACCCACATTTTCATCACCTCCAATTTCACCAAGTACGCAACAAAGATCCAGTCCAATGAATGTACGAAGACCAACAATCACGGGTGCATCCGAAATGTCTTCTTTCAACTTTCCTTCAATATCATCTTCTTCGACTATAGTTGGCAGTGATAGTGGAAGTGGTAGTGGATATCAATATTCTTCTTCATCACCCACACGATCTGTTCTGGCGTCTTCCTCGCCGTCAACTTCATTTACTCGTCCATTACCCACACGACACATGAGTTTCGACACACCAAATGATTCATCCGCGATAACTCGAACACCTTCATCTGGCGGTGGAGGCACAAGGCCACATCAAATTCCTTCATCATCATCAACGGCAGCTTCAGCAGCAGCAGCATCATCACAGTTTATGAAACGTTCAAGATCCACCACCACCTTGAATCCTCGACCAACTGAAGAATTAATTCCAATTCGTTTAAAACATCAGCAGCAGCAAAATGATTCGAATAATAGTAATGCTAATAACGGTGGCATTGTCATTGGAGGCAGTAATAATAGCAGTAATCTTCTTGTTCATGGGACTAGGCAGCGAAGTGTTAGTGTTAATAGTAGTAATATACAGGCTAGATTTCATACAAAGGTAATAATTATTTGTTTATTATACTAATCCATATTTCATGATATGTATTGGAATTTTACATATTCGTTAAATTTTTTATAGTTTCCCATCCTTACTGAAGCAGAAAAATCAACACATTTACTCTCACCTTCTCCTACCGCCAACACTTCCACCGCTACCACCCATTTTCCCTACCAGCAACCGGTATCATTATCTCCAACACGAAATATATTCGCAACCGAAACAACAATATTGAACGCAGGCCCTGAAATTCGACCGCTGAAAATGGACAACTATCGCGCCACCAAGGAAGTCTGCGAGGACTTGTCGGTGGCCACGGATGATTTGATCAGGTGGTTGGGACTTTTGGATGCTGGGTTTGGGGAACTTTTAAAACGATTTTAGTGCATTTTTTTGTTTTATGTCTGGGAGGACGCGGGAGGAATAGAATGAATGTGTTGTGTATATATAAACGCGAAAAATATGGAAGATTGAAACAACTTTATTTATATATAAATAATCTTTTTACTGTTATGTCCTATGCAATTTTTGGTCTAGTAATTAATTTACCACTCGTTACAAATACAATATTTATAATTATGTAGGTGGATAGTTGCTTAATTTTATTCAGTTTTCTTTATTTCGAGAAGCTTACGTTTATCGGTCCACGTTTTCATGCTGCTATGAGCACCTGAGTACTATTTATTTAGATTAAAAAAGAATTAATTTGTAAGAAACTAAACAAAAAGAAACACAAATAAAGAAAAATTACCCGAGTCGCCAAATCAAAAAGAAATCCCGGACCGGCTCTTAGAAGCGGAGTCAAATACGTGAAATACGGAATATAAATCTCTCTTCCTTCATTTCTATCCAACGCAGTGATTATAAGTTTTACAAGATCCAAGGGCGGTAGACATGGTGTGAGGAAAGGCATTGTAACGACTACCCCATCAAAGAGGCCTGTTCCCATATGACCTGGGCAGACTAGGGTTGTGCGTATTTTGGGCGCGTTGTACCTTTTGGGTTGATAAATCAAAAGTGATCGTTATTCAAGGGAAGGCTTTAAGGATTATGATTATAATCACGATTATTACCGCATCTTCAATTCAAATCGCAGTGAATCGTGGAAGCTGATTAACCCTGCTTTTGAGGCACAATAATCGGCTAGAGAAATTTTGATGATTTGAGTTTAGTACTAATTTTTAAATTCTTTATTTTTAGTTTATAATTTTTACCTGTTTGTGCGATCCCAGTATATCCTAGTATCGATGCGATTGTCACCTTTCAAAAATTAATCATATATTAAATACTGCTAATGCTATTACTGACTGCTACGACTACCACTTACTATATGCCCATGATTATTTTCGATCATATTTGGGAGAAATACTTTAGTCGTCCAGAATGAGGATAATAGGTTTGTATTAATTGTTCTATTTATTTTCATATTCAATTATTAAAAAGATTCTTAGTTTCTCTATTTGAATATTTATCCAATTAAATTCTCTTCTTACTCTTGTATATCTTCCTCCGATCCATCAAGAATCGTCTTCCCGCGTAGTATTCCCGCGTTATTTACAAGTATTGTTGGGTGTCCGACCTTTATTCATAGTATGAAGTGTTTAGTGTGTATGAGAATGGGTTTATTATGTATGAGAATGGTTTATTATGAAACATGAGAATTTATTCGAGTCACCTTACATCTTCGATTATTTCCTTCGCGACATTTTTCACTTGGTCTAGATCCGAGACATCACATTTATAAAAATTAATGTTTCCTATATATACCAGAAGAGCAAAAGTAATTATGGTTGAATTGAATTGAATCGAATTGACTCGAGTTGAATAGATATATACCATTTTCAATTTCCGGCGGCACAAGGTCCAATACAACTACATTAACATGTCGCAATGCCAATGTTTCAGCTAACAGTCCACCAATTCCTCGGGAACCTAAATACAAAAAAAAATATAATACCAAGAATTCCAGACCTTTTCTCAGAAAATCAAAAGAAAATCCATTCATTTACCACCAGTCACCAAAACAATTTCATCATCCCATGTCACCAATGTCCTTTTACCAAAACCCTTCAACACCCCATCATTCCTTAAGGCTCTAGTGAGCCAGCCCATACTCCAACAAAAACACACAAAAAACGCGTATACACATGTCCACACGAAAACGGGCTCTGCTAAAGAAACGGAGTACCCTTGCACCCATATAAAAAGCAAGAGTAATAACGCGAACGTGTGATGTAGTATCGAGTTTAGTAGTATTCGTATGAAGAAGTCAATGTGTATATTGTCGGACATTATTTAGTTGATTATTATCGAAGTGAGCGTGAGAAGATTTTTGAATGAAATTTTTATAGATAGATTTGTGTTACATCTATTTCTTTTCGCGTTCTTTTAAAAATGGTATGTATGCAATTATTTCACCACCAAAAAATACTTAGATCAATCGTAAAACCCTATTCAATTCTCACATCATTACACCAACTAAAACACTTGGAAAAAAATGTTTCACTTTTCTCGACATATTGGCCATATGAACTCAAAACTACGCGCATACTCTGCAAGTCCACATGTAATGACAACATGACCACAAAAGCTTCAAAAACTTCTACTTGTCACCCATTTGCACTCTTAACAAAGTCACCCGAGTATTGGATAAATGAATTCAGACGATGTAAAGATTTTGAGCAATTACATTCGGTTGCTGTTCGATTTTTTTACTACAAAACGGAATTCAATAAGAATCATAATTCTGCACTTGATTTGAAAATTTATATTGTTGCCTTGAATGCTTGTAGGAGGCTTGTTCGAATTACAAATTCTAACAAGACTTCAGAAGAGGAAAGTAACTCAACATCATTGCCCGTTCAAAACGAATTCATGCAAAGATTTTGGATAGATATTCCAAAAAAATCATGTACCACTAAAGACATACTAAAACTAGCGCGTCGATTCTTTGATCACATCGATATAAACAGTCGAAAACACATCCTCTATACACATTACATGGCAGTGTTAGCTTGCGCTGGACACGTAAATGCGATACATACTTTATTAGAAAATATGCGAGAACAAGGCATAAGGCCAAATTCATTTGCATATAAACACTTTATAAATGCATGTGTGAATTCTGGTGATTTACAACGAGCATTTAACACGATCGATACACCTGCTGACGTTGTTTCCTCTGCGGCAACTGCTGAGACTGTTGGAAGTCATTCACACCAGCCTTCACTTTTTAAATTCCTGTTATCGCGTGATACTAATTGGGTAAAGGCTGCTACAAGTCTGGGGTGGGGATTAATTTTTGGTAAATGTATTTTATACTCTTCCTGTATAACAAATGACGGCGTATTCGACGATGTTTTATTGGAGGCGAATAGTGATCAATTAGCAATTTTGGCGTTTGGAATTTGCTCGTTAATCGGGATGAGATATTTTTCACTGAATTTAATCGGGGATTCCAAATCAATATCATTGGTGCTTGAGAGTCAATATATCCCGGAAAAAGTGGTGTATCCTCGATATTTATTAAACACGCCATCATCAAATTCGGCGACAACTACTTCTGCTACATTATCATCGTCAAAAAATACATTGAATTCAAATTTTGATTACTCGCATGCAGAGAAATTACGACGAAATTTATATTGTACCATGATAAATAGACTGCTAAAAAATCGCCAATTAGACAAGGCATTGCTGGTACTCTCACGAATGACCGAAAAGAAATTACCATTGGATTACGTTAATTACAAAAAGTTCATCGATTCATTATGTCAAGCAGAAAGACTAAGCGATGCAGTTGAGGTGGCTTTATGTGCAAAAAGTCAAGGAAAACAATTGTCCCCTAGTAATGAACTCCTGCCTATAATTCAAGCATATCAAAAGGAAAACGATATCAAGGGACTAGAAAGATTTTATAATATCGTGATGTGATCGCGTCAATACTCGAAACCAATTGTTAACAACGTTTACGAGACTTGAGAGATTTAACTGGACGGTTTATTATTGTATCTTGATTTTTACTATTCGGTAAAAAATGGATAGAAAACAGTCAAAGCTCTTATATTTGTTGATTTGCGAAAAAATCTCTAGTTTTCTGACATGTTTGATTAGTACATTTTGGACATCGTAATGATAATTGAGTGGACGTTGGTTTGCCTGATTTTAAATGTTTTTTTACTATTTGCGCTAATGCTTCAATAAATATCGGATCATCGTTCAAAGATTCAGCTCGCTTTAATCCAGTGATACCCGCCTATAAATACAAATCTCGAGTCAAAAAGAGAGGATAAAGCATTATTTTATATTTAAATTAAAAATTGCATACTTTTTTCGCTTCTTCTCCATACTCCAAATCCAATTCAAACAACGTTTCAATATGATCACTCGTGAAAGCAATCGGCACCAACAAAATATCATTATGCCCTCGTTTACCGAGTCCAAGTATCGCTTCATTTGTTTGTGGTCCCATCCAAGGTTGCGGGCCAACTTGTGATTGCCATACCAGTCGATACGGATTAGAGAATTTTAGTCGTTCCATCACACCGTATACCGTCGCTGCTACTTCGGATGTGTATGGATCTCCGCGATTAACTACTACCATTGGTAGAGAATGTGCCGAAAAGAGAATTACTGTTTTGCGTCGTGTTTCTTTCGGGTATTTTTCGAGAGATGCTTCGATGTGACGTGCAAATGCCTATATATTTTGAAAATTTATAAATTTTATGCAAAAACGCATGATATATTATTTATTTATGTATACTTCAATTAATCCTGGATGTGTTGGCCACCGATCAATAACACTCCATTTGATTGTACCCTTCGGATCCAATTCTTGAACCTTTTGCCACAGCTCGTTTAAACTGCTTCCCGTAGTTGAACAAGAGTATTGCGGGTACTGAGTGAATGCGATCGCACGTTCAACACCATCTTTTTGCATTTCGGCTATCGTTGTCTCTGTTAGGGGAGGCGAGTATCTAAAAGCAATATATGATTTGTGTGGGGCTATGCATTGAAATAAAATTGAGAAATCAATTCAAACTACCAAAAGTTTCACAACTATATAATGATTTAATAATAATCACCAGATTCAGGACTCAACTTATCTAAAAACTTTACCATTTCTCTCCCCTGTTTTTCAGTCCACGATAAAATCGGCGACCCACCTCCGATTTTCGCATATTGCTCTTGTATTCGGGGTGTTCGTCGTTTTGCGATCCAGGGCGCTAAATGTTTTTGAAAGGGTAGCGGCATCAAATCACGATCCGAGAATAATCGACATAGAAAGTCGTATACTTGGTCAAGTGTGGCTGGACCTCCGAGGTTCATTAAAACTATGGCTGTTTTAGGTGGTGGTGAAATACTGTAGAAATTTCAGAATAAGTTTTGAGGATCGTGTCAAAATCGCGTCCCACTAAACCGCCTCCATTACCGCTCGAAATTACCCTTTATTTAAATCAACATTATCCCTTTTATTTTGACCTGCAATTGATGCAAACGTTCGATGAAGATGATAATCATGCCGATTACTCAGATACGATGGAAAAAGCAAAGAATATCCTGTAATGTTTTTATGATATTAAACTATAATCTCATATGTATAATTCCATATTAATTAATGCAATAAGAAATAAATTACCATTATTATTACATTTTTTCGCAACACTCCAATAATTGGATACAAAAAAATTTCTATTAATATTTAAGTTTCTATTTTTTGCGAGCATTTTTCGAAGATTAAAAGATATTTTTTTCGAATATGTAGTTAAAATGAGGATGCATCGGTTATCTCGATTGGGACACATCGTCTATCGCTATTGTGTCCTTTTTTAGAAGTTAGCAATTAGCTTTCTCGTTTGAGTATCAATACAAATAGGCTGCTGCAAGCTTAGGAAATATAAGTTTACTTTTATAATCTTTCAGCGTAATGTATTGAAAATATCCTTTTACAATTTTACGCTACAAGAATTTCTTTATGGGTAAGGCAAGTAAGGAAAGGTGGTCTTTGCAACAATATCTGTAAAGTTCAAAGACGTGCCAAAATTCGATACTATTCTCATTCCTAATTAAAGCAAAAATTTATCAGCACCACCAACAATTTTGATACTGTAGCAGTAAAGCCGAGATGATAAAGCTGGGGAAACATACCAATACGGTGTAATTGAAACGAGTTTAAATCAATGTAGGAAACAGATTGTAAGTGATTTTAGTTAAAGTAAGCATTTCATGATATGTTGTTGGCGGGATAGAGTAGAAGTAGAAATCCATTCGATCTTATTCTTAACGAGCGAAGTCTAATCTGTTGTATATATTTCATAATGAGACTTTTGCTCTCTTGTAGACACTTTATTGAGGATGATACATCTACCAGTAAGAAAAAATAAAGTTTATTCTACTCAATCATCTTTGATATGGATATTTGTGGACGATTGTACTTTTTGTTGTGAAGAGTTCCTTGGTGACTAAAGATGGAATCATTTATTGCTTTTTGGCTTGTAACTTGAAGCGTCATTAATTCTCACGTGATTCAAATAAAGACATTAATCTATTACCCAAAAGGTTTGCTCGTGCATGTGTAATGTGTTGATTTAGTTGAGAAGCGCGGAATTCTTTGCGCGACTTGCCAGAGAAAACCATTTTGTTCTAACTTGTGTTTCTCTGTTTACCAAGTTTAAAAATCCACATTTCTAATTACCTACTCAATCACCAAGAAAGTTAGTTATATCAGAACACACCTTTTCCTGGTGATAGAATAATGCTGAACCCGCGCGTATTTTTTGACATTGACATTGATGGGCATAGAGGTGTGTTTTTATGCTTGTTATTGACAAGATACTGGTTTAGTCTACAGGAAGGAATATTCCTCTAACGATTTCTTGTAAAAAAAGTTGGCAGGTACAGAAAACACCCTCTTTTTCCTTAATTTATAAAAAAATCACAAGAGAAATAAGCTATAGATAGTGGAATCATAGATTATGCTTTTTTTGGTATCTGTCCTTTTTTGCATCATCGGTTTTAGTTTTGAAAAGTGCAAATACACAATACAGCAAACATTACATACATACATGCATACACATCTTACCGCTATGCAGTGGAGAAAAGCACATACGTTCTCTCTCTCTGTGACTCTGACACGTAAAAAACTACTACTTGACTCACATTATTAAACCCTCAAACTTGTCCTCCATAAGGATCGTCATTGAATTATTTAAAGATGAGGTGCCGGTGAGTAATATGAGTAATTACTGTCATTATTTATGTGAGAATTTACAAATTAATTAATTGGTGTAATTTTCGTTTAGCTGACGGCGGAAAATTTTCGAGCCCTTTGTACTGGTGTGTTTCTTCAAGATTATAGATAATTCCTTGTGTTTCATCATTATAATGAATTTTTGAGAGCAATTTGAAATATTAATTTTAACTCACCTAATTTTTATAAACATGTGATTTTCGGGCATTATTTGTGTGCACCTTTTTACGTGGTTTATCAGGTGAAAAGGGACTCACGAAATTGACTAACGTCCCTTTACACTATCGTGGATCGATATTTCACCGGTAATATCGTAACCAAATTGCAATTTTCGGAGTTTTTTTTTTTGCTTTTTTCTCAATATCTAAAATTGTAATGTGAATCTCTCAATTGTATCAGAGTGATTAAAGGTTTTATGATACAGGGTGGAGGTAGCTATTTAAATCTTCTAAACTCTATTGAAGATTTTCATCATACTCAAATTTTATTGGATAACCTAATGAATACATGTATTACTTTTCATAGACTTTACTAGAAGAGATGGAACAGGCGGTGAGAGCGTCTACGGACCAACTTTTGCGGGTGAGTAAAAAATCTAAATCTCATTTTCTTGGACAAGTATATTCTGTCAAGGTGTCAAGGTAATCTTTTCTAATATTAATTTTATTAAAGATGAGAATTTTCGTCGCAAACATGATCAAGAAGGATTATTATCCATGGCCAACAGGGGACCTAATACAAATAGTTCACAATTTTTTATCACTGTTCGGCCAACACCTCATTTAGATGGTAAATATTACGTATCTATCCTAATCTTATACATAGTCAACCCCGTGAAGCGCTAATTAGGACCTGGAGAAACTGGAATTGGTTTCAGGAACAGTTATAGTAAACCCGCCTCGATAAACCGAATTTTCCGACCACTGCGATTTAACGGGGTTGACTATGTATATTTGTTAGAGTTAATGATTTACTGATAATGGGTGATAATGATATAGGAAAACACGTTGTCTTTGGGCGTGTTGTCAGTGGCTTTGATGTTGTAGAGACCATTGAAAATGCCCCAACCGATGAAAAGGATCGTCCAATTGCAAATGTAATGATTGGACAATGCGGAGAACTTGAATTGAGACTGCCGCCCAATATTAAACGTAACTCATTATCCTTTACACTTGTGTCCATTTTAATTTACTTAATCAACGCTAAATGCTTTCGGTGTTTGCTTCAAAAGTAGCAGTCAAAGATAAATCAAAACAGAAACAAAAAGGAGAGAAGAAAAGAGCCGCTTCTCCCACATCATCCTCTGTTTCCGAATCAGAAGAAGACAGGAAAAAGAAGAGGAAAAAGAAACGGTCGAAAAAAGCACGATCTGTTACTCCGTCCTCAACATCGGATACCGAATCTTTTGATTCGGAGCGTGCTGCTAGATATAAAAAGAAGAAAGATAAAAAGAAAAAGAAAAAAAGTAGTTCCTCGAAAAAGAAAGATAAAGTGAAAAAACGACATAGGGTCAGTAGTGACAGCAGATCACGTAGTCCAAGTGTCAGTCGAGGACGTAAAGCAAGAGCAAGAAGTCGAACACGATCGCTCAGCAGAGATAGGTACAATATGAGTATTGAAGAGGAGGATAAAGTTAAACCGAAAAATGGGGATGGACAACGAAGACTATCACACTCTAGATCTAGATCACCCGCGAATTCTGTCTCAAGATCGAGATCACGTTCAAGATCAATTAAAAGACGATCCCGTAGTATGTCGCGTTCGAGATCGAGATCACCTCGACATAGATCACGCTCTCGTTCATCACGTCATCGGTCAAGCTCCCGAACGCGTTCTCTTCGTGAAAGGTCACTTTCTCCTAGTAGAAGCCCATTGCCAAGTCGTCGACGTCGGGGAGTTGACAGCTATAGACCCGGAGACACGTATATCGCTCCTAGCTATCGTCGTGATAGTGCCTCGACGCGCGACAAAACCAAAGGTTCTGAAAAAACCCATGAAGAAGATCGCGAATCTCGACGCGACAAAGATCGTGATTCCGCGAAGGATCGAGATCGAAGGGAACAAAAAGATCGCGAAGATAAAAAAGAAAAAGAAAGATCGCGTGACAGAGACAAAGGCAAAGAACGAGAAAGCTCACGATCTAGAGGACGAGGCAGAGAAATACGTGAACGGAACGACGATGAGCGCCGTGCTGAAAATGTAGATGATCATGAAGAAGAGGAAGAAGGGAAAAAAGATAAAAGTCGTCGGAGATCAATGTCAAGATCTCCTCCGATTAGATACAAGGGACGTGGCAGAATGGTAATTGTGTTTTCCATGTAATGAAAATTTACGATTCTTGATCATCACATTAAGCTTATACTGACAATTAATTTTCACAATAAAAATTTCAGAAATATTTCCAGTCAATTAATTCTTAATAATGTATCTTTGAAGAAAGTTAATTTTAATGGTAAGCCAGATATTATTAATCAATATTTTGTATTAAATTGAAACTTCTATTGATACATCAGACAACTCGTACACCAAATTTTGGAAAAGTTAGGCATAAATATATAAATTACAATTCGCACTTAGTTTTTTAATTTTTTATTTAATTCATCTGTGATTATTCATTAATCTTACTATAAACAGAAAATCTTGCCAATTGATAGGGGTGTCAAATGATTTACACTGGTATATAAATTTCGTTGATCAATTTTTCCATTTATAAAGTAGTTAATCGTAACAATGATCTACTACCCACAGGTAGTGTTAACACCCTAGTAGAGTAGTGCATTCATCCATAGCTATTGGAGAGAAGATGCAGAACACGTAAAACTTATTAAACAACCTATCTGCTACTACTGTTATCACTAAAATGAAAAGTTGAGCTCCAAAGACAAGGTAATCCAACTAATATGCCAACTCCTATCCATAAAATGAAAAGTTGAGCTCCAAAGACAAGGCAACCCAACTAATATGCCAACTCCTATCCATAAAACAAAACTTCCCAACAATTGTATGTGTTTCTATCCATCCCAAGTAAATTTGCCATATTTATATTTCTCCTTTCTCTTTGAACATTTCTTTGCTTGTTTTTGGAGCTCGATGTTTTGCTAAGTAATTAGCTTCCGAGAGGTTCAAATATGCATCCTATTACAAAATGGAAACTCCATGGGGAAATCAATATAGTTGGATTTTCATCTGAAAGAATACCCGTACATAATTGCTTTTTTGGCGCGATTCACAATATTGATCCCAGTGGTCACAAGCATGACGAGTAAAGCGACAGATGGATTAAAGAAATTCCTATTTTTTAAGGGAGGAAGAAGAACCGATGAAAAGAACTAATAAAATTTAAAAAAAAAATCTTGATGATGGATAGTCTTATTATAGGGACCCTTCATGAGATTTCACTTAACACATACACGTGATATTATATTAACACCTGAGATTGGCCATCCCCTAAGTAAACGTACTGGTCCTATACCGGATACATCTACCCGATTTGGTAATAACAAAAATAACCAATAGCATTGCGTATTTTCGGAAATTTCTACTGTAATAAAGATTAAGGTTAAAGAATGGTTTTAAGATTAGGGTTAGGGTTACGGTTACGGTTAATGATTCAGGTTATATATAAAATTGTCTTCTCGATATTTTTTATTAATACTCCGGACCAGATTTAGACATTTGATCGGGTGGGGGGGGGGAGATACATAAATGCACGCGCGTCCTATACCTTTTGTAAAGCCTGAGGCAAACCTTGTCTACAGTGTTGTATACGGCGATTTTTCCGTGTCCGCAGGGATAAGTCAATCTCAACATAGGCTAGCACTAAAGTCCCTTGGCCAGAATTAACAAGTGATGTGCCGGCAGTAATACTAATAGACGCGGACATCAAAGTCCCTGTCCCATGACCCAAGATTGTTATAAAAATAAGCCACCAGACTGTTTTCAGTTCCTTCTATTTTTTTGACAAATTTTGAGACCAACCAGCTTGATATCCATGAGAAAAGGCTGTAGTACCATGTTCATCTTTTTCTGGCCAACATGAAAAAATATTTGCTGCTATTTCAATATTAATATTCCAGCTGTGATTCGGCAACTCTTGGTTTCTCATATTTTGATATTGCTTAACGCTAGCACATCATCTAAAGGTAAGATTGTAGAGCGCGAGTATATTAATACTATTTACAAAAAGGACATGCGAGAAAAGAATATCTTTATGGAAATGCTCGATATTGTCGACATTGGTGTTGAAGCAGTTTAAACTCTAGACTGGGCTGACATAGCAAAAAGAGTACAGACTCATAATGCCCGAGCGTAGACACAGTTGAAAAGCCGATTATACAGTGAAAATGAATAAAAAATACGAGATATTTCTCGGAGGCTATGTGGGAAATTCTATCTACTAAGCCAGTTTAACAAAGCAAAAAGAACTGACTCCGCCACTTATACCACCTATCAAAAAGTTGCCACATGAAATTCCACCATGGATGAATGATTGTGAATATGAAAAGATCCAAGAAATTTTTTTCTTTACATCCTTTACATTTATATACTTCATATTTAGCAGTCCGGTTAATATTGATAAGTTAGAATTAATTTTTTTTCTTAATCGGTCCATGATAGCTTTTGGATTATTGGTTGAAATTTCTATTAACTACCTGTAGGAAATAGTTATACCTATGATGTTAAGGGCATCTTCCGAAAGGAGCTTGGCGAAACTTTCGAGTACCGTAATTCTCATGCAAATAAATAATGAGATTGGCACCGAAAACGGCATCTGTGGTAGATGACAAGATCCTAACGCGAGAAAGCGTAGAAAATAACGGATTTATTGGATTGTAATGCAACATCACATATATTTGAAAAAAATATCTTCTTCAATAATATAACTTTGCATTATCTTCCTCCAAACACAACAACTCATTTACAACCATGTGATGCTGGAATAATTAAACACCTATATCAAAAAACACGACAATTCAAAAGATAGAATAATTGCCAAATGCAAGCTTCGGACTAACGTATTAAGACTTGATGTTAAATGCATTCATTTCGATATAATGATAAATTATCTTTAATAAAAAATTCGGACAGAATTTCCTTTATTAATTAATTTGTTTTAGCTTTTTCAATGATTTGTTATTAACTTGATTAGAAATTAATCCATGATCACCATCATCTTTACTTTCAATAGCTTTCAATAACTGTTGTTGCTGCTTTTTCCCCTCTAAAACCTTAGCGCCACCCTTTCTCTTCATAGCAAGCATTTCTCTTTCATCAGCATCACGATCACCAGAAGTGATTACACCTAATCGCTGAACGCCAGGATTCTTGGGAGGGTGAGGAAATAAATCCCCCCACATTGATTTTTTGGCATCACGGTACTCGATTTTACCTTGAGATTTTGGAATGTTACAGCGTTCAATGACACCTGAGACGAAAATTTGATTAATAACACATGAAGAATAAACTAGATTTTATTTTCTTGATAATTAATTGAAAATACCTTTTTTGTGGCATACATCCATCACAATATGACCTTTTCGCTTCATCGGTGGTAGTATGAGACGTGACCAGTGATAGGCATTATCCTTTAACTCTTATGCAGCAAAATAAAATTAGATTTCTAATTAACGGCACTTCTCCATATAAACTGTGAGTATTTAAACATTAATGATTACGATATAGAAATAAATACCATGACTATGTAAAGTTGACGTTGGATCACTGAGATGCCTCGAAAAATTGTATTCAGGACGAATTCCTTTTCGTAGAATGACATAAGAATACATTGAATCTTCGAGATTTGATTTTGCTTTTTTGGTTTTCATCTGGATATTGGAAACGAAAATTATTCTACTGTAAGAAAGATCGAAATTGATTAAAACTATTGTTGTGCTTACAAGATATGAAGGTCTTTGTATCCGCTGTGAAAAATGGCACCAATTTCTCGAAGTCACCAATGGACATATTCCATCATGTGGACACTAAATTCGGCAGCAACAACGATATTATATGAGTAGCGCCTTTGCCAAATGCGAGCTGAATGAACCAATAAATATGGCGATTCCAGGACAAACTCTATTTTTTTACCATACAGGGGCAATAACATGGGCTCCATTTAATACTTTCGTTGATTCGTTAGCAGGATCCGTGATTTCCTTTGATTCATTTATTGTTGCGTCCCGTTCAACTATAGAAGATGACGACGGGGAATTACTTTGGCCAACGACGACAAGTTGATTGTTGGACTCTTGTAATATTTTTTGACGTGCTTTTGCAATGGTGTCGAATCCTGCCGGGGTTCCTCTTTCTATTAACACCTTTTTTATCAGACAATAAATCAAGGAAAATTAAGATTTGATATTTTAAATTTACATATGAACAAATGGTTTTTAAATTTACTAAAATATCTCGCGTTTTTTTCCACATTGAATCCAGCATTAATTTCCTTGTATTTTCGCTAAGTTCATTTAATGAGAATGCACTGATCACGAGATCGTATTTGGTTTCCTAACGAAGCATGTTAGATGTATTATCCACAATAATTAATTAACATAAAGAAACTAACTGCCGTGGAAAAAAAAACAAGAAAAAAACATTACTGCAGGATTATATTCAAAAGATCGCCTAAAGACAAATTTTTGAGGTTTATCAGTAGCAGGTCGCACTGTAAAGTATCATTATCAAATAATTTAATCGGATGTGTTATTGAATTAAAAAAAGGAATAAAAAACGACAGCTTACTTGATAGAAGTGAATTTGCGATGGCTAACATTGAATGTGATTTATCAATACCCACAAACATCTCTGGATCACTTTCCCAAACTTGCTGAGTCGCCCTAGAATTTCCATTTATTAATAGTGATCTTTAATTATGAATATCCAAAACAAAAAAATAGGAAAAGCATCAACCACTAAATATTAATTATACCAAATAGCTGTCCCAGGACCCGTCCCAAAATCTAAAACACGTTTCGGCTTAAAATCCGGTACTCGTCTTTGCAATTCTACAAGAACATTAAAGATTGGACCATACGCAATTGGCATATACCCAACTAAATAAGCCATCGATTCACGTGTTCCGTAGTCGATTAGATGAGGTTTCAGTGGAGATTCCTTTGCTGCTATTTTAAAAGTTCTCACAGCGGATTTGCATGGCCCATAGAGAGGATCTATTTGAAAATAAATTGTTAGATTTTATTTCAGTTATGAAGGAAAATTTTGAACAATAACCTTTATATAGTGATTTCTCTATATTTTGCACGAGACCGGTAGTGGATCGAAGAGAATCATAAATTCGTAATGCATCGACGCGTATTAAACTTCTATCGTATTCTTCGTATCAGATAAGAAAACCGTCATGTGACTGACTGTTAATATGTGGCGCAGGAAGTAAATAACGAAGTAACTAACTAACCTGTAATCATTTGTTTTACCCCGTTATCTAACCACTGTGGCAACATTACTGAACCAATTCGTTTTCTACCAAACGAAGCTTGCGATGATCGACGTATTATGGGTTCTTCATCATCACTATAATCTACCAAATCTTTATTTTCGTCATCCTCGTCATTATCCTCATCAAATAATTTCATCGGATCAGAAGCAGCAGCGTTTATGGATAATGCGACTTGAATGTCACTTAATAGCTGCGTGAGCGCTTTATCACTACAAACAAAAAGAGTTCAATGATTATACATTGATAAGAGGAAATGCAATTTAATTAAATCCTCGTCGTTAGTCGCGTACTCAAATTCCAACTCTGGCGGATCATTGGTGAAAAAACGACATAATTTTAGACGTGTATGGTGATGGGGTGATTTAATCAATATCTTGTAAGATAATGATAGCGATATAGATGGTAATATATTGTTGCTCTTTAATAATTTCGGAAAGGACAAAAACATGATTTCATTCGATTTGTGTGCATGTATTTGGAATCAATTTATGATTGGACTGGAAAATAATTAGGTATCATATATGTGTTATATTGAGATTACTTGATATGGATATTAGAGTTTGGCACATGAGCATAAATAGATGTTCAATCATACTGATTTTGATAAAAAATCAATTGCGTGTTGAATTACCGTTACATTCTGTCTAAAGCATACAAAGGGAAGAAATGGCAAATACTTTTATCTACTCCAAGTATAATGAGGCGAGTCGAAATACTCCGGGAGGCACATTAACTTATATGTATCGTTGGAAAATCACAAATTGGAGTGATGTGCGGCCATTCGTTGAACATACCAGCCCCTCTTTTAGTGCCGACGGACTCCATTGGTGAGTGTTTAACAAAGAAAAGACGCGTATTTTTTTACTGTACCTGTTGACATATATACTACTACAAGTACTAAATACACTGGAATTCTACAAAGGGTCTTCAAGGTAGATCAAAGCTCCTCATTTTCACGTAACATTGCGAGGCTAGCCGCCTCTTGCTTGAAAAAATACCTTTTCTAAGTCCACTTTTATGAACTTTGTTTATCTGTATCCAAAACACCAAAAGTTTTATAAAGGGCGCCAGAAAAACCCACAGGTACTGTATGAATGATTAATTTAATTGATTCCATTTCGATAAAATTTATTATCTATGCCTCAATTAAACGAATCGGGTTTTGATCAAAATCAAAAAGGCGATCTCCTTGTATTTGGGTATTTTAGAGACAACTCCAGGATGCTTAAGAGGGATTCGGAAAAAAGTGTCGATCGTTTTTGTGCTAGAGAATTTGCGTACGCGGGGAATGGATTTTGGGAAGAGTAAGCTAATTTTTGATCAAAATAAAATTTAAAATAAATTTACTGATTGATAAATAATTCGTGTAATTAGTGGAATTACCAGTCTGGTTTTGTGAAAGTATGTATAATTATTCTACTTATCTACAAACCAATCAGAGTATATTTCGTTTGTGTGTCACTCACACTAATCGCGTTTATTTAGGACATTCAACATGGGGAGAAGAGAATCTAATGTCGCTAGATGAAATGGACAGGTGTTGTGCATAGCATTTAAGAAAATATCAAGTATATCGTAATTTATATTTCCCATATTTTAACGTGCTTATAAACCAGATTCATCAGCAACGACACAATATCACTACTCGTAAAATTCGAGGTCCAAGAATCAATCATTGACGCACCACCAACAATCAACAATCCATTTGCAAAACTAGTAGATTCTCCTCAATTTTCCGACGTGACATTCCGCGTTATCGATGAACGCGCTCGCGAAAAATCATTCTACGCGCACAAAGGAATACTGGCAAGTGCGTCGCCGGTATTCGAAGCGATGCTCACAAACGGAATGAAAGAGACTTTCGAGGACGAGATACAATTGTGCCAAACAAATCACGCGGCGTTTCGTGCTCTGCTGACGTTCATCTACACGTTCAAGTTTCATATTGGATCGTTGATTGAAGCGGAAAAATTGTTGGGGTTGGCGGATAGGTTTGGAATCGTGCCGGTGCGTGAGGAATGTTTGCGGTATCTACGTTTGGAATTGAATGATGATAACGTTTGGGGAATTTGGGGATTAGCAGGTAATTAGGAAATGTTTACTATATGTAGTATTCTATCTTTGAAATAACAAAATTTTCGCTTTCTTAATTAACTCGAATTTAGTAAAATACACTTGTCCCAAAACTAACAATACTTGCCGAGATTATGTCGCCCTTCATCTTGGTGATCTCTTGGATAAACAGTCAACACTCGAAGCCGATCCCAATATACTTCGCCTAGCACTCGAAAATGATGAAGCGAATGTTAGCTCAGAAGAGAAAATATTTGAAATGGTGATACGATGGGCAAACTTTAATGCACGTTTTTCCACAAGCAATGCGTCAACAGATACGCTCCCACTATCACTATCGTCAGCAGACGGAGATAGAGATGTATCCACCTCACAAGATGATTCTTCAGCATCAATGCCCTCCGAACTTCCTGATAAATCTTATGATGATTGTTCATCTGCTATAAGTAATAATAATAAACCACGAAAAAATTCCTCACCTATAAAATCAGAAATGGAGGCGGAAGTACCAGAAGAGGAAGATGATGAAAATACTAATAGTAGTAGTATTAGTAATAATGATGATAATAATAATAATAATAATAATAACTATATTAATAACGAAGAAGACACAGACTCTGAAGAATTCAATGAATCCGAACTATTTCCAAGACCTTGGTGTGGCGACAGACAGGCCGCTCTTCCCTCATTATTAGAATGCGTGAGATTCCCAATGATGCAAAAACGGTACCTGCTCGAGAAAGTTGAAAGCAACACGATGGTGATGTCAGCTGATGGGATGAAGGATTTGGTGAGGGGAGCTTACAATGCGATAATTTCAATAAATTAAAAAATTTTTAATTTCATTTTTTGTTAATTAAAACCCCTTTTTTTCTGATTTATTGTTTTTTTATAAATTGTTCAAAATTAATTACTCTTTTTCGATGCTTTTTTGTCTCTATCTTATATCTATATACTACTGCATATTCGCAGTTGATCGAGGCTTATCGATACCATCTTATGCCGGACATGAAACATTCTTTAAGTGACAGGCATCGACGACGAAAGGCGAAATCGGCTGATTAATTGAATGACCGGATTTTTGTCAACAAGGGCCATGACAAATATTAATTGAGACGATAGGGTGGAAGGTTATACAGGGGATATCTCAGGTCCCCTATAAAATATGTTCTCAATTCTCTCAGGAAAGGGGAAGGGGAAATCCCTCTAATAAACGCATCTCAGCTAATATCTGTCACTCACTAATGTGTAATATCTCTAACTATCTCTATTTTTATGTTTATTGTGGGAAGTGTGTGCGATTTATGGGAAACGCAGTTAACAAACATTACAACAATAATACAAATCGAAACTTTTTTTTTCAATAATCAAGTTTATTATTAGTCGCAATTAGCATGTAAAATATAGCAATAATTGATAATTAATTAATAACGGAATTATGGAACTGTAGTTCATAATTAGACCACACAAAATAAATTTCTTGGTTTTCATAACCCGGCCGGGTCTATAAATTTCAGGCGCAGCATATACGGACCAATAGGAATGTATAGATCACTAGTGATATCCGACTTCTTTAGTAAAGCTCCTGCGAAATGAATAAACCAGGATTCACGGTACAATTTCGTCAAAATTTTTGTACTAATTAAGATTCAAATTTTGCCCAAAAATAGGGTATTAGCGGACGAACGAACCGAGTAAAGAAAATGGCAGAAGTTCATTCAGAAAAAGACAGCCGCAAAGATATCATTTTAATAATCCTTTTTGCTTATCTGTGAAGTTTTCTTAACTTTCTCCAGAGGGGTACTCGTACGGTAGTTCAAAGAATTTTGTATAAATTTCGTCAAGATGTTTGTTTTTTCAATATTATTAGGATTTTTTGTCTTGAATTGCACAATTTTCGTAGAAATATCCCTCATTACAAGGTATCCTCTCTCATAACGTACCCCCTTCTCCACCAATGAATTATATTACCTTTCCTACTTATAAAATATCAAAAGAAACTGAAATTGAGTAGACAAGATTATATTGCTCAAAGTTATTTGTTCAATTCTATAAATTCATGATTTCGATAACAGTATTATTTGATAAACTAAATAATTTTAGTATACGTCTTTCGAACGACATAGGGAAAAATTCATTTATTTCAAGTTTAGCATTCAATGCTAAATATATAAACAAGCATCAGTCACACTCATAATCATTCCCACCACCCGAAAAAATACTTTCAATCCCAACGATAATATTCCCGTGCCCCCCATTTCGCAAAGCACGCAAGTAACCACGAATAGATTCATGTAAATCACGCTCTAGGCCAATTCCAAGCTCTCTAGCCTTGGCAATCTCAATCTCTACCTCAGTATTTTTGGCATGATAATTGCAATTATAATTAATATTGTTGTTTTGTATAATCTCACGAAAAATGATCATTGCTTTACGTAAATTGCGTTTTGTTCCGATCCCTTGGCGATAACATAGTGCAAGACGTTTTTTTGCGGCGATGTTGTAATTTTTGGTATCGTAAGAAGTAAATGACGATGATAGTTTGTACCATGTGAATGCGCGTTGTGGGCTTTGATTTTGGTCGAGTTGGTTTAGTTCGTTGTCATGATTACCAGAAACTGACATACACGTACAAAAAAAGTCACCCAAAATTCGTTGTGCTTTTGAATCTCCGATTTTCGCTTGCCTGATAAACCAAGTCAAATTTTCATATCCTTTTTCCATCAGTCGATTCTGAAATTTTTTATCTCCATTACTTTCTCTCCCTGCATTCGAGGCGCGATACCATAAAATGGCGTTTCCAAAGTCTCTTTTTGTGCCAATTCCATACTCATAGCATTCACCTAAATGTCTCATAGCATCACGATTTCTTCCGCATGCTGCTCGCTGATACCATAAAAAAGCTTTTTTTAAATCAAATTCAGTTCCAATTCCGAAATGCCAGCATTCTCCCAACGAGGTTTGAGAAGGCGCGTATCCTAGTTTGGCTGATTTCTGATACCAATAAAACGCGCGCTCTAGGTCACGATTGCAACTTGCATATCCACCGAATTCATAAAACCAACCCAGTTCATGCTGAGATGCAAGGTCGTTATTATTGGCAGCTAGGGAGTAATAGAAAAACGCGCTTTCTTGCGAAATATTTGTGCCGTAGCCCCATGAATAACAGAATCCCAAAAGTGGGTAAAAACGAGAAAATTTTGCTCTTTTTAGAAGAAGCGAAAAGAAGTTTTGATGCGTCATTTGGTGTTGTGAGAGAAGTGAATCTAACGTATAAAGTAATCCAATTGAAGAATGCGAGTATTTGTGGGATGCCCAATTAAATTGTTTTGTTATCTGCGTCAATATGTTTGATGTTTTGGAATGGGAATTGTATGGAAAAGTAAAAAGTGGAGATAAAATATCACGTAGTTTTCTTAGTTGTTGATGCTTTGATGTTGATGTTGATTTGAATATCAAAAGACGTTCTCTATTTGAGAGTGATGATGATAAATTTACCATTCTGACTTTAAATTTCAATAGTAAAAGATTCTGACTTTGAATTCAATAGTAAAAGATTTATTTGATTAAAATTTTTTTTACTTGATACGTCTTTATATTATGGATTTTTACGATAGCTTTTAGATCATAATATAATGGCGAAAACTTTTGTATTTATAATTTTCAAACATTATTTCTAACATTATTTCTTATTTTGAGTTGAACGGGACAAACGGAAATTTAGAAATTCACAATGAAAAAGAATAGTAAAATAATATGGTTTGTTACCGAACGAAACACGAAATATATATTGTTATATATATTGTAGTCATTATATTTTATTTCTATATTTCTATTATTGGTAAATGATTCATTGGAAAATGTGGAGTGTAAAGTCATTCAATGTTTGTTATCCGTTTTAGAATAATTTTGACGTACATACATGCGTGCGTGTTAGAATTCGCATATGCATAAATAAATACAGTATATAGAACAATTATACAACATAACGATAATCGATGTTTCTTGATAACAATGCATAAATATAATTCGAGTTCTTCTAGGTCAGCTGTCAAGGTTGATTAAATAAGAGGAATATTTTTGTATTATCAGAGTCACAGTAAAACATGTGAAAAAATGACTCAGCAAATTAGTCTCATGAGTGTTTCAACTGCATATTATTATATCGGGCTATGATAATGCCGGCCGGCTTCATTGGTTAGGCCCGAATTTTCTATGATAACGATAATAGATATCTACATGTTGGTCCAAACATCGTATTTGACAATCGGCATTAAATAATCGATGGATTCGGTTTACTCTTCACCTTTTCCATTAAAATAAGCGTATTTCTGACGTCAAAGAGGAAAGAATCAATTTGATCAGTTCGCAGAAGACGTTTGAGCTCAATGAAAGTCGTAATATTAACCGTTATTATCTTAGTATCCTGTTGAAGTTCCTGAGTTCATATTAACGTCATTGTCCGTCCAGGAAGGCTCTTTTATGTTTTTCCTCTTATCTAATATCTACAATTTATATCGATATGATTTGAGTGTAATCTGCAGTTACAAAAAAAGTTTTTAACAAAAATAAAGTCACGAACCTTTTTTCAATGAAGTAATATCGATCAATTGATTGATAGCTTCTGATTTTTAGCAATCAAGGAAGAACACGAATATCCTGGATAATTTTTTATCCACTACTCAAATCGAGAAAAGTGTGTTGTTAACCTAACCAGTTCACTTCTGGAATTTAGTACAACCAAAACACTTTCTCTCCCCTTAAAAGAGCGATGAGTATCACACACTCTATCACTATATATAGTCAGTGTATTTGCGTGCGTGCGCAAAGGAATTAATAATATTTGTGCCCGTGGAATTATATTGAAATGTCTGCTGAAAGTAAGTTGTTTACATAGATATTTGGATATACTAACGTTAAATTATATATTATGTAAAAAATTTTCGAAAAATTAAAAAGGACGAATGAAATTTTTGTTTAATATCCAAAAATCGAATATTGGATGTTATATATCATTAATAATAATAACAATAATAACCAAATATGTATTTCTTTTGCAGCGACTCCTTTGTTGTTTGAAGGTAACAATAAATACAACCCAAAGAGGACGGCAGCAACAAAAAAATTTAACTTTTTTAAATTAATTTTATCCAGTGAATCGAATTATCGATTCCATTAGACCAGTGCTAAATGAATTTTCAAACGGGAGCGCAAATCGATTAAGTTTCACTTTATCCCATTTTGGTAAGAAACCCTATGTCATAGGTCATCGTGGCGCAAGTGACACTTATCCCGAGAATACGATTCTTGCATTTGAAAAAGCGATTGATGACGGTGCAGATGCTATCGAATTTGGTATGTTTCTCTTTTCATATTTAATTTCATGGACAAATTATTTTTTAATTTTTTGTCAATCTTCCAGATATTCGAAAAACACTGGATGATAAAGTTGTTGTCTTGCATGATTCACGTCTTGAAAGAACAACTACAGGGATTGGAAAAATTGCTAAGGCCAATTATCACAGCGATTTAGAACACGTCACTACAAAGCGAGCACCGCATTGTCGTCTTCCACTTTTCGATGATGTGGTTGATATGTTGTTAAAAGAACAACATAGACAAGTGTGGGGTGTAATCGATATCAAACCGGGTAACCCGCTAAATATTTTCGAATTACTTGCTGAAATTCTACGTACACGGAATTCCGATCTTGGGGTATTCTCAAAGCGTATTATGCTCGGCATCTGGCATCCAAAATTTTTGCCATATGCACGAAAGGCTTTACCGGACATTCCGATCGTGAATATCAGCGAATCACTTACAATCTCGCGCGAATTTTTCAGCGATGTCGATGGATACAGTATGTCGGCATGCACTCTCGCCGGCAAAGACGGACAAAGTTTCTTGAAAGATGTACATGACGCTGGGAAACCGGTGTTCGTGTGGACTATTAATGCTAAATCATACGCGAAAGACTGTTACGATTGGGGTGTTGATGCTATCATAACCGATAAACCGAAATATTTTATCGAATATTTTCAGGGTAATGAATTGATGTCTACAAACAATTATTGGTGGTTCTCGTCCTTCTTTCGTTTCCTTCGGATTTTATATTATAAGTTAGATTCGCGTATTACGGATTATAAGACACGCAGGTGGCTTCTTAAATATGGACCTTTGGAAAAGACAGAAAATAAAATAGACGGATAACATGTCCTCACAAGATAACATATTTATTTATATGTAATATATAGTATATACATTTTTGTTTCTTAGAATATTTATTTGTTACGAAATTTTGATTATAATTATTTTAGTCAAAGCTCGATACAGTAAATTCTCCCCAACGCACGTACTATGTAAACTCTCTAAATGCACGTGCTTGCTCAATTCCAACCTCTAAATATATATATTCTAAATGTATGACATAACGACTAATTAAAATCTCGAGAATTTTAATGATCGAATTATTGATGGAGCCTAAAATCCCGTAATTAATTTCGACATTTATCTATAGATCAAATATGTAAAGTTTAATTAAGTCGGTCGTACAAATTTTATTGGCTAGCGCTAGAGCAACACACTGAAACTTCTTGGATATTCGATCATGACGGAATGATGATGTAATATGATTATGTATGTATGTGTACGTACAATTCAAGAATCTATAAAATAAAGCTTTTCCTTTTGTCTCAATGATATTCTAATTGATACGTGACAATGACAACGTCATATACCGTCAAATTACACGTTTATGATTTATCGGGAGGTATGGCGAGGGCGCTGTCTCCTGGTTTGGTTGGTCGTCAAATAGGTAACTTTTGTATATTTTTATTGTTTTGATTTTTTTTTTATTGAAAAAACCATTGATTAGTTATCGGATTAGATGGCATATGGCATACAGCCGTAGTTGTTTATGGCATGGAATGGTTTTATGGGCAAGGAATATTATTCGAATTACCGGTAAAACTTCATTAATAAAAAATGATTTTGATCACGCGAAAAATTCATATTTTAAGTAAAAACAAATCAAAAAAAAAAAAAAAAACAGGGACAAACACAATATGGCTCACCGATACAAACAATTGATATGGGTAACACCGAAATCCCCCCAGAAATATTCAGAGAGTATATCGACGAGCTACGCGAGATTTACACTATGGAAAAGTATCATTTGTTGGATAACAATTGTAATAATTTCACGAATGACGTGTGTCAGTTCTTGACTGGACGAGCTATACCAGAGTCTATTACTAGTGAGTTTGCTGATTGTTTGACGTCACTTGATGAGAGAATAAATTAAAATTGATTTTTTTTTTTGAATTATTCTTGTAGCTTTACCTGCAGATTTTTTGACAACACCATTAGGACAACAACTTCGTCCAATAATAGAATCAATGTTTGGGCAAAGTAGATATTCTTAATAAATAATTAAAGATACTATTATGTAATTTATTTAGATTATTTTCGAAATAGAATAATTATTTATTGTTCCAATTCAAATTTATTGTTATAAATAAAAAACCGAGCTATTTCACCTGATTTATCACGATTTCATTGATTGATTGATTGATTGATGGGGTGGATTCGTTGTTTCATCAAGAACATTCCCAATTTACCAACAAAACACACACCACGACAATCTTTAATTACTACGAAGACAACAGCCACACAAACTTCAATAAACCCATTTCTTTATGTCAACTTTTGGCGTATCATCTTTATCTAGAAAAAGGTCTTTTTTGGACTGTTCATTTAGTAAAAGAATAGCAGGAACAGCTTGAGTAGCATTCAACAAATCGCGACAAATATCTGAACTCTGGCGTTGACAGTCGAATGCTAACGTGTCTTTTGGGTCATCTAATTAGGTGATCAGAAATGACAGTTAGTGGACTAACAAAAAGTTTAATCGAAAAATACCTCGATCAACACATACCAAGCTCAACTATTAGTGATTGCATTATTCCCTTCTCTTTACTTATCTCCACCTCAATAGGAATGGTGGGATTATTGTACGCGATTCTGGGTAAATTCTCGCGCAAGAAATATCTTTTGATTGGTAACAATGCAGGAATCATCAAATTTATATTCTGTGATTTTTTTGATTGAACTTTTTTTTAAATACCTACCTGGCCCCAGCATTAAATTCTTTCCTCGAGAATGACAATGAAATTTTTCGTACTCTGGGACTCAACTTTGCCGCCCCTAAGCCTGTTCGCAAATCCAGCAGTATTTGTGCTGTTCTTGTTAATGTACCTATTCGTTTTGACATGACTATAATTTTTTAATCGATAGATCGTTCATCAGATTCAAAAACTTATCACGTGTCACCTGACTCAAGGCACGAACGAGTAATTTACTTTCCACCATTTAGCAATATTCATTCTTGGTGATCTTCAAAGAAAAAAGCTTTACTGCTTTACATTTTATGATTTTTACAAGTCTTTTGCTCACTATGAAGATTAAAATAACATTTCTTATTTCGTTTTACTTTAAAGAAAAGCAGCAATATTTCAATATTATCATCTTTTAGCTAAAGCTGCTTCGTAATTTCGTTTCAATCTCTTATAATAATTGAACGCCCAAGATCCTTGCAAAGCGCTTGCGTTTGACGTCAATGGATCCAGTGGTTGGCAAGCCCTAAGTGAATAAGAGTTGGTTGATTTGCCGACCTTTTATATATAAATGAATGATTCTAATGTACTGATCTGTCATTACACGAAGGTTGGGGAATAGTATTACCATTGATGTCTGACGGTTTCCGAATTTGCATCCGGATCGTATATACGCGAATTATACAATCTTCATCCCCTAAAAATAAAGAGGTTACGAACCGTGATATCTTGCGATTAGATAAACCGAATACTTGTATTTACGTATTAATCTGTCCGAATGTTGTGTGGATTGCAACGAGTTGGATTAGGTTTGGAATGTTTGGTACCAATGCCACTTCTTGTGAGAGCGTCTGAAGTGCTTGAGCTGCATTTGCATAATTGGGTTGTTGCGTCTACAAAATAACACAGGTGTTTAGAACTGTTATAGTTTCGATATTTACCATTTGTATAATTAGGCTGTTGCTCCTACAAAACATTTTTTGATATATCCCTGCACTATCCATGTACTTCCTCTGCGCCACCAATAAAATGCGCAATTTTTGATCAGCCCGGTGAACCGACACAAAATAAGGAAACAGATACCTAAATCTAGCTTGGAACACTAATAAAAAATGCCGGAGAGGCAATTTTACAGTCAAATCCTGATATAACGAACCTCTTGAGCTGGAAATTTTTTTCGTTATATCGAGTTTCCTTATGAAACGTCGCTATATAGAGGTAATTTTAAAACAAAAGGTCTTTTTTCTTTCGTTATATCAAGGATCTCGTTATATCCAGGTTTCGTCATATACAATTTTAGCCTATCTTTTATTACACATAATCGCTTACGAAATTATATCTTTTTTTTTATTGGTCGATCAATCAATCGCCAGAGCAAGTAGGTGAGCCGACCACGTTCACATATAACCAAGAGAAAACCGCGACCATAACACAAATTCACGCTAAATCCGCATGATCTAACTTAGTTTCATACATGTTGTCAAAATTATTGAGTCAATTGACGCAATTTAGTTGAGTTAAACCAAAGTCAGATTTGTGTATTTTTTCTTGAATGATGATGAATTATGTCGATTTAAAGAAGGTTTAGGTCGGGAATAATTTCTAATACGCGCATCCTCAGTAAATGTGTTCTATACATGCGGTCAAAATTACTTTGGGATACTTCTTTAGATGGGATTATCCCTTCTTAGCCAGCGGATATAATCCATTCTCCTGGAAGTCAATCGCGAGCATAGAAATAAACTTCTCCAGTAGTTATCTACTGGAGCTCTCCGATGTTATTGAAACCACCTTTCGAAAAGAAAAAGAACCGGAAATATCTATGATATTTTCGGGAAGGATAAAATTGAGCGAGTGAGATCTTTTACTGCATTGATCGTTTCGAAATTAATCTTCTAACACATCTAATAACCATGAAGTCTTTGGTTAACAAGCGATCTCGAATCCTTTCAACAGGAGGACATCAATTATATAAGTGAAAAGCATCTTGGTATCGAACTAGACCAAAGGAGAAAGAACACTTTTCAGAAGAGAACTAGATCGAGACGCTGTTCAGCCAAGTGAGAACACGAGATCAAGAAGAATAGAGAAGAGATCGGGAAGTAAAAAAGGAAAAAGAAAAAGAATAGGCAAGTTAATTATCACTTTTTATCCCATCAACGAACTTTACTGCGCCATGAAACCACGTGACGTTTTGTAAGTTCTAAATCAAATTTATAGAGAAGAAGAATCACGCACTTATTATAATGGATCACAGTAAAAATAATTTATTTGTATCCAAAACCAATATACACATTAATATTATACATGATTTAACAGATTTCAAGAAAATATTAAGAGAAATGAAAATTGATTGTCACAAAGTACAATGAAATATTCATTTATTTTACAAGTGATTGTTTAGTTGTTATGCATTTGAAGTTATACTATCACTAGAATGATATGATAGCAAAGAACTGGAAGCACATTGTGATCACTATAAGAAATTATTAGTCAAGTAATTATATTTGTGAACATCCTTTTTTTTTTTATCTTATCATCTGAAAGCTTTGAGCAAAAGTTGTGATGAATAGAATATATCAATAAATAACTCATGTTTAATTTTGGAATATTTATTTTAATAATAATAATATTTCTTATAAAATTTTTTATACTTATCATATAGAATATTGGATGGAGATAGTAATATAAACATATCTGAAAATTATAAAGATTATATGCTTTTAGTCCAGTGCAAAAATTATTCAATGACAAAAGTTAATGTCAGTAAAATCAATATCTTAGAAGAGGTAATATCAAGATACGAGAAGAACAAAATATTAAAAATCTTTGTAATCTTAATTCATAAATTTATCAAATCATAATTTATTGCTTACAAATATATTAAATATGTATTATTATTAAAGATGATCACCTAAATTATTTTTAGAAAAAATGATAGTTTGGCAAATAATTCAGTTTTGCTATATTACTTATATTAATGAATACTTAAAAATCATCTAAAAATGCTTGTTTTGATTTGTAGAATTCAAATAATTTTAGAAAATAATTTCAGTTACTAATAAAATAAATCAAAATAATTTCAAATTTAATTTTGATAAGTTAATTTCAGCAAATTATTTAATTAGATGATATCATTTCAGCAATTATTCTTAATTATTACAAATCAAAATATATTATTATTATTATTAATATTATTATTATTTATTTTTTTTTATTACTATAATATAGTCTTGTTTACAGAGTTATCTAGTCTAGTATACAAATACGAAGGACAAGAAATTAAACTGAAAATCATTAATGAACTACATTAAAAGTTATCAACACGATTAACCACCAGTAACCTGTCAGATAACTACACAAAGTCAAGATTATTCATCAAATTATCACTTAAGATTCTCAATTTGATGATGTTAATGATATTAATATTACTATATAAAATAAGAGTGAATGAAAGAGAACAATTGCTGTTGGTGTGTTCTTCAGGAAGAAATTTGCAGTCGCATAAGAATGGATTGGAAAATTTTTTGTAAAGTGAGGTGTAATATGAGCTGCTATTGATAAGATAACCAGATCTATTAATGATTCTGATCTTGTGTTTCTTTTGTATATTATTTCATTTGTCAACGTTGATTTGTGTTGTGCATCTGGAATTCCAGATTTTGAGTTTAACTTGTAAGATGAATCAATATGTAATTTTGTGAGCGATAGATATAGTTAATTTTTGATTAAATTGAAATTTTTTGATGAATGTAATTAGATCTTCAGGAATAAATCCATAAATTAGGTGAGTAATATTGAATTGTAAATTAGTTAAATTATTAAAGTCAATTGAAAGATATTGTGCTAACTTGCAAAAAGTTTTGACTTGTATTGTGTATTATGTATTGTCAATGTTGTTATTGATTTTTTCTTTTTTTGTTTGTTTAATTAGTTTAGTAGTAAGTTTGTTGACGAATTCAGTGATGATGTCTTAAAAAAGAGGTTGAGAGACAGAGCATGACCAGATATGTTGTTGTGTTTCTTGTTCTTTGCTGCATCTGGAACAAGTATCAGAAGGATAGAGATTAGGTTTGCATTCTTTGAGCAGGTTGAGTACTGGAAGGGAGATAGTGATATATTTGATAAAGTATGTTCTGACAGATGAGTGCAAGAATAAGATAAAGTTGTTATTTATGCCTTGATTAGAATTTCAGACTAAATATGTGGCTTTCCAATTAACAAGGAGAATTTGTTGGTTGTTGATTATTTTGTTGAAGTCATTTGATAATTGTTATGTGTATTGTATTCTTTTGCATATAATTAGCTTGATAAAGTATCTTAGATTGGAGTCTATTGAAATGAACTGAAAGAAAATAAGAATGAATGGAATATTTGGAATATTATAAGTATTAATATAAAGAAGATCTCGTCTTCTGTCTAGATTTGTGAGTTTATCTGCTTGTTCATTATCATGTATTTCAGAATAACTTTTAATTTTAATAAATTTAATTTATAATCTTTTTGCGTTAATATTGTATTATATAATACTCCATAGAGATCAGAATGGCTATTGGAGAAGATAACGTGTAGAATGATTATTTTTATTGATGACATTGTTGGTGAACTCTTGATAGTACTAGCACTATTGCAGTATATTGTGATATCAGAGAGCATTGAAAGAATTTCAGTGATAAAGATAATGGTGAAGACTTTTGTTTTTGTAGTAAACACTGAGTCAGAAATTGAAAAGAAGAAAAATTCACGTCTATTTGATGTGATCTAGGCTGATCCAGCAGTTATGGATGATGTATTGGAGAGATGAATTGATTCATTAGAGTAAAATTCAGTGAGTTGATAGAATATCAGTTGATTGTGTATAATTTTTCATTTGACTGCTTGTAAAGGTGTTGAATTAAAATGAGAAGATAGATAATGTTGTGAAGTTATGTAGAGTTCTTGTTTTGAAATCTGTATTTTATTGTGTATAATGTGATCAGGATCATTGATAGAAATTGTGTGCTCTTTTAGTAATGAGAACCAGAAGGATTTTTTCTGTGGGCTGATGATCTGAAACGTTTTTGTATTGTCTCCAAGTGATTAGTCTTTGTTTGTTGTACTTTGTTAGTTGTAATAAAAACAACACTTTGTTGTTACTGAGAGTCTTGTAGTATTTTTTGTATATTGGCCATGTTTCTATAATTGTTTCCAATGATCATGTGTGATTGTGAAGGTTGCTGTTATCCATAATTTGAAATGAAGAGAAAAATAATATTTTAAAGTTATGTATGATGGGCATGATGCTAGTGATGAGATTGTGTCTGATAGGACTGGGTTCAGTGAAAGATTGTGAGAGAAGAAATCTGAAAGATCAGCGATCATATTGGAGTTGGATAAGCCTGCAGACAGTAATGAAGAAATTTATATTCTGATTGTTAAGCCTGTAAAATAATTCTGAAATTTTGTATTGAGCTTGTATGTGCCAAAGATCATTAAGATTGATGAGAGATGAATGATGTATTATTAAGTTTGATGTATTAAGAGGAAGGTTTGCTTTCACTTTAATTGACTTTCTAAGCGTTAAAGTGATGTTTTTGCAGGTGATTTTGAACAGAATGAATAGTTGAATTCTATATTCTATAGCTGGAAATAGAACATGATTGATAATATATACTGCTTGTTTTTCAGTAATGTATTTGTTTTTAATTAGTTGAGTGACTCAGTTGGTTTCTGCTAAAATATTTGCGATTTGATTATAAAATTTGCTGTCAGTACTAAATAAAATATCCAGGTATTTGATGCTTTGGTATTTGAGAAGTGAAGTAAGAGGAGAGAGTAAGTGACCTAGCATTAAAGGAGTGTTATCATTCTTGTTTTGATTTAAGCAAATAATGTCTATTTTGAAGATGTTGATGTCTATATCGCACATTTCAAAAAACTGATTGGCTGTGAGGAAGATTTTTTGAAGATTATATCTAGAATTAGCTATCCATACAGTGTCATCGACATATGTCATATTGAAGTGATGAACAAGTCCTGGAATTTTAAAGTGATTGTTATTGGTGAACATATTGTAACTAACTTGTTTGTTGAGTGTGTTGACTTGACATAAAAGTGAATCATAAAATATTCTCCACATAATGGGTGCGTGAACTTTGTCTTGGTCAAGATTATTATGTACTTTGTATTGATTAATAAGACCAAAAAAGATAGATACTTGATTATGCTGATGGTTTTGAATATTGTCGAGAAAATTAATGTAAGTTTGATTCATTTTGATACGTGTTAATGATTTTTTAAGAATGTTCTAGCTGATAGAGTCGTAAACTCTTTGCATATTTTGAAAAGTGCATCAAATTTCTTTTTAAGACTAATGTGCATTTTCAAATAAGTTGTTAATTATGTGTAATAGAGTTGCTGTTGAGGTGTTTTGTAAGACAAAAAAATTATTGTCTTGGAGGATGTTGTGTCTTTTGTATGTGATAGTGATTCTATTG